ATAAATGTTAGTTAGTTGCTATAGTTTAGTATTATCTCTACTAAAAATACTTTTTACACCATCAAGTCAATATACTCCTATCTTAAGCTACAGGGTATTTTCTCCTGCAAAATTTCTTTCTTACTTATTTATCTGTAATTTATTCATGTATTTCCTTCATTCTATTTCATTGACAATTATGGAAATGCTCAATGAACAATTTCATAATGAAATGCGCATTCATTTCATAATAATATCATATTCAGTTGGAAGTAAAGAGCAACATGTCTGGATATAGAATTTGTAAACAAATTTCAATAGAGTCAACATATATTAGTATTGGTATGTCTTTCGGTTTTCCCTGAAATTCACGGTTGTCCTGAGTTATCCGCAGCTGTTCTCATTTATCCATTGTTACTCTCTGCTATCTCTAGTTATCCTGAGGTATCCATATTTAGCACGTTATTCCCAGTCAGTTATCCGCGGATATCCTTAGCTTCCGCGCTTATCCACTGTTAGCCGCAGCTATCCGCTGTTGTCCATTGTTATCCGCTGCTATTCGATGTTATCCACGGTTATTCGCTGCTAACTATAGTTATCAACGGTCTTCTCCTATTATCCCAGCTATCAATAAATGTCCTCACTTATCATCAGTTTTTACCACTTAGCGACTGACTTATCTAAATTGATTCCCAGTTGAACATGCTGTCAATTAACTTCTATTTTTATTCAACTCCCACATATATAATAGATGACTATTCCCATCACATTACAACTCATTCGTTGCTCTGTCTCTCAAAAATATATAACAATACAAAATCAATATAGTAAGAATTGTAAGCCATTGGATAAGGGGTGACATTCCAATTTATTTATTTATTCACTTTTAAACGCATCTCATTTGTGATATTACGTACCCTCGCACGGCCAGCTCTGATTTAATCCCAGCAGAGCTATTTAAGTTCCCGTCGCTCAATTACCTTAAGCAAAGCGAAGAACAAAAACATAAACAAAACAGAGAGTAAAACTTGGAGCCATAAAGATTCACTTAAGGGGCGAGCGACATGGACATGCTTGAAGCATGGGGCAAGAGTTTTTCTGAATTATATATATGAACTTGTGGCACGCAGCGCTATGACACCTCGTTGACGTTCATGCAATTTCATTAACGGACACTCGTATATATTTATATATGTACATATAGATATTAAGGTCGATAATTTGACTTAAGCGAATAACTCAGCTCAGTATTTATGGGAGCAACTTGTCATAGTTTTCCGAGTTTTGCTAATTTATGAGCGGGCGAGTAGCGAAAGTGTTGCCAAGTTCAGATATTGTTTGGCGTTGTTGTTTATCAATTCTATGCCCCATTTGCAGCTCTCATAAAAATTCGCTCACGGCATGAATGCAATCAATAGTTGCTTCATCGACAGTTTGTTATTATTGGATTGTTATTGTCGCAGTAGCTGTGCCAATATTTGCCACGGAGCTGGCCGTGTGTCATTATAATCGAATTCCGTGAGCTGAACAACAGCTGAATCTGTATCAAATAATAGAGTGAAACGTGGCCAAGTCTGGTTATGTATGAATTTTATTTGTATTTGGATTTACAGCACGTGCCGCCGAGCAAACTCAACTTTTAATCTGACAACTTTAAAGCGAAAAAAATGTATATAAATCAATTAAATGGAAAATGAAATGCAAATTTTAATATGCATCCGGTCTGTGGATGTAGTTGATCGCATGAGAACGTGATATGGCAAAATTATTGTAAATGCAAACTGCTCGCCAATGAAATATTCAAAATTTATCAATTGGCATTGCCACGCAACTTGTCGTGCAAGCCAGGCCGGCAGCTGGACTAAAACATGGCCATTTAGCTGATGCCAGTTGCCTGCTGCCTGCTGTGGCTAAGGGCAGCTGCTTATTTATTTAAGACTGTCATTAAGGTGCATGCACGACCGAGCATACGGTTTATGGGTAAGGCCATGACTGTGATTTCATAGTCGTAGAATAATAACACGAACAGGAAACAGCTGCTCGATGTTTGCTGCTGCACTGCCTCAACTTTGCTCCTCCATAGCTCATTCGTTTTCATATTCTCCAGTTACTTCTTCCTCAGATAGAACTTTAAGCAAAATCGTGCCGCGCGCAAACAAAATCACAATAAAAATGCAACGCGAGCGCCAACAACGTCTACAATTTAATTAAAGTAATAAATTGCACGTCATTTGTGCAGCCAGCCCTGTGAAATTGGCCATAAAACGAGACAGTTAGTGGGCCTGAGTAACGATTACAGGCTTAAGTCCAGTATCACCTGCCATCCTACAGGGCGCAGTACACAAATAAGGCTCTATCTAGCTGGCAGTTGGCAGTTGGCAGGAGGCGAGTTCGAGTAGAGCGAGCAAAGGATATACAAACTCGACTTGGCAAAGAAAGGCTTATACTTATATAAGAGATATTACATGTTGCTCTGCTCTTGGAGGGGCTCAGCGATTTAAATTCTGTTCCAGCTTAAGCCTAGTCTTGGGTGAAGTTCTGCTCGCCCAAGGTCAAAGCTAGCTCTTGCTAATTATAATTAATTATTTTGCTGGATTACAACTATATTTTTATATAATATAATATCCTGTTATTTGAAATATGCTTCCGTTTGGTATTTATTTTTCTTTGGCCACAGTTTATTTACGCACAGCGGACCTAAAATCGCATTTGCCAACTGCATTTTAATCAGAGTTTGTGTTTTTGTTTATACTGCGTATTCACGTCCACTAAAAGCAAACTTCAGAGAGAGAGAGAGAGAGAGAGAGAGAGAGAGAGAGAGAAAGCAAAACTAACTGCGAGGCTGCTGCCAGAGACAAGCGCACGTTAGCTAATGAATTTTAATTATGTAAATAAGTTAACTTGGACAGAGTTGCTGGCCGTTCGCCGCACTCATTCCGCGCTGCCAGTTAAGCGTGCTTATGCCCATTAAGTGGTTGCAAAAACAGCAACAAAATGTAAATGCAACAACAATAAACAAAGAAAGCTCAGCACGAGCGACAGCAGCTCCACTTGGCATCAGAATTGAATTAGATGCTGACAGCAGGAGGCGGAAACGATTCTCTCTTCGACCATGTCTGGCGCCCAAATATACTTGGACATTAATTAGGCATTAAATATATTTTGACGTTGATGTGCTTTGACTTTACGCACAGCAAATTGCACATACGCCACGTTGTACAGCCGGAAAAATGTTGAAATTGGACGCTTGGGCAAAGTGAACATGGCATTACTTAGGTTCTTATACAGTTCATTAAGTTTTTTATTATTTTTTTTTTTCATTTAATTCTAGAAAGGAGTGTATACGTTCACACGTGTAAATTTGTTACCTGTGTGTCTGTGGTTATTCATTTTAATTTCCACTCGAGTGCTCCGTCCCAATGGCAACTGACAACTGGCAGCACTCGGTTGCGGCTCATTTTTGCTTTCCATTTGCCAGGTTTAATGAGCCGCATGCAAAATTTATTTAATAACCTTCAGCTTTATGGCTGCCCTAAAATCGAGGCTATCAACTGGAGCGAGCTGACTGTAAAATTTCATTTGGACTCATGTAATGTGTCGGGCTTTTAGCTGTTTTTTGCATGCACTGCTTAAATATTCCAAATTGACATAAATCATGTATAGAGACAGCTCTCATCGCTGCAATTTCCAACTTTATTTCATTAGAGTGGCCCAGAGCTAATGCAATTATTTCATATTTAATTCCATTATCAAGCTATTAGGGCTGACAGCAATTCATATTTCATATCACTCGATGCAGTGAATTTTACATATTTATATTCATGCCCGACAGCACTTCGATTGACTTTAAATTCCCCTACAAATAGTGTAAGTTATTTTAATTGTTTATTGGTTAACTGTCTGAGCCAGATAGTTGCATCTGGCCGCAACAAAAAAAAAAAAAAAAAAAAAAACGACTGGCCATTGAATGATTTAATGGCTCGACTGGAGCACTTTGGGCAGCTGGCTGCCACTTGACAGGGCCGGCAAAGCCATCAGCAAAATGTGGCCTGTATCACCTGGCCACGCCCTGACACATGCCACCTGCCACCCACCTGGCCAGGCTATCTGGCCGGCTGCCTGACACAGTTTCACATAGCCTTGCACAATACAACACCATTTTTCAAGCCACAAAACTGTTTCTGTTTCGGCTTGCTGCTGTTGTTGCTACTACTCCTGCTGCTGCTGCTGCTGCTCCTGCCGCTCCTGCTGCTGCTGCTTTTAGTGATAGTGCTGGCGAAAAAGGCCTTACGTGTCAATTTATTATAACTTATTCAAGGCCAGCCATTTGGGTATCTGTTTCTGCGTGAAAAATGCCATAAAAGTTGAACGCTGACCCGGCTAAAAGCCGCCACATGGAAAGCCTCAGATATCCCATATATGTATATATTGCAATTCCTTTGTGCTACACACACATAGTGATAAAGCAAACAATCCAATTTATATTGAAAGCAAACTTAATAAAGAAACAATAAAAAATAGAAACTCCCCTTACGCACGCCACATTCCAGGGTATCTCCATGCACTATAGTAAACTTTCTACAGCTGCCATTTAATGCATGGTCTCCGCCCAAAAATCCGAACACGCACACGATGTTACGCTTCAAGTATATTAGCCAAGCTGGCAGGCAGCCCAAAATATAAAGAAAACGCTCCAACAATTTGCGGGCTCAATCAGAAATCGATCGATTTTGCTGTGGGCTGTCCGCTGCTAGAAGTTAATTGCTTTGCGAAACTTGAAAGCGCAAAAGTTATTACAAGGCAAAGGAAAGCACAAAAAAAATAAAATAAAAAGAACAACAACAACAACAACGAATGCTTGGTAGAAGAAAAGCTGTCACAGAGTTTTGACAGAAACTTGTGCCGCGTCTTATTAAAATCCAACTTTTTACTTAAGTTTCAGTTTAAGTATCTCTAAAGTTGTCCATAATAGATGAGACTTTTCCCTAATATCTTTTGCGATTTGATACATTTGATTGCAGCCAAAGCCGCCACAAAGATTCAAGCCGTATTTCGAGGCCACAAAGTGAGAGAAACCATGAAAAAATCGGAAACCAAAACTACAACCAACAATGGCAGCGCCTCTGCCTCTGCCCCTGCCCCTGCCTCTGCTGCTGCCGCCGAGCCGGAGCCCACCAAAGCAGAGCTCGAGGCTGAGTTCGATCCGAACGACAAAGGTAAGTGAATGCCAAAGCTGAAGTTCTTAAAGTGTGAAGGATATCTGAAGCCGACTGAGACTGCGGTATTCGTTTACAAACGCCAAATATTTACTTTGACAAAGCCACGAACTGAGAAAGCGTTGCAAGCCCTGAGAGAAATACAAATAAAAAAAAAATAATGAAAACTGCAGCACTCTTGTAATAGGATATGTATGACAAGACTCTGGAAATGATAAAAAAAAAGTAAACCTTGATGAAAATTTAAGAAATTTAAAACTATTTTTTGGTGTTATGAAATGGGAAGATCTTGAATATTTGAATACTGAATGAAAGCCGTAATTAAAGTGGCACAGTTTGTTCTTAGAAACTGAAAAGGGCTTAAGTAATTTAAGAAAGGCTACAAATAGTGAGGAAACATTTGAAGAGCTGCGAATGAGATGACAAACGTAGATGAATCTGTTGAGTTATTTTTTGAAATGGGAAAGCTTGAAAGAAACTGGAATGAGAGAAGGAGCTGAAGCTATACAGAATTTGCTGCCATTTATTTTTTAATTTTTAATAAAAAATTAATAAATAGTTTTGATATTAAAATCAGATTATTTAGCTGCAGCTGCATTTAATTCCATTCATTAAAAATTAATTTCTATTTATTTAAAGCTCTAATAAGCAAAATCCGTCTTAAAAACAAAAAATAAATAAATAAAAATAAAACCCTTTTATAAAAGTATTTTATTTAGATTGCCATGGTTGGCCACATTGTATAAGTGAAGCGTAGGGCACAAAAGGTTTTCTTATTACTTATGTAAATTCCATGCTCATGCTGGAGCATTTTCCCGAGAGACGAAATCATCGCTGCAAGACTCTGCGCTGCTATACTTTCCCTTTTACTAGAGCCGTCGACAAGTTCAGGCATGTGCAAGTGAAAAGTGAAAGCCAAAGGCAAGCCAAATTTCCACTGGGAAGCATCTCAAGCTGCTGTCGGCGCTCGAAGCTGCTTCTCCTAGACGCTTACTATTATATTAATTTTTAATATAAT